ATTTCTTTATTTCGTCGAATAAACAGAATATCCCAATGCACGATTTTACGGATACATGCTTGTAAGTATATGCAGTTTTACATGGGAGAGCGCCAAAACTAAATACATCCTGAGCAAATTTCAGAATACACATGCTTGTGTACAAAGCAAACGGGTAATGGAATACGGAGAAAATGATCAGCATTCCACAGGTGAAATGTAAAGGGAAAATGTACTTTTTCTTCTTGGAAAAGAGTGAAAGAGAATTATCTAAATGTGGAGACTACACCCTCTTTATCTGATACATATGTAGGTTCTGTTCTTCATTATGGATGTGAGACGTGGGGATTTCATAAAGTCCCACATGTTGAGCAAGTACATATTAACTTATTGAAGAAAATTATGTTGCTTCGAAAATCTACAAATAACTTAATGGTTTATTTCGAATTTGGTAGATGCCCAATGTATGTTCAAAGTAAACTTTGAATTCTGAAATATTCGGGTAATTTGCTCAATACAAATAATTGCGTTCTGCAGACATGTTATAAACAATTGTTATGTGAGTATGAAGAACAACAGGAAAATTGCACAAACTGATTAAGTGCAGATAGAAAGCGTTTTGAAAACGCTATTTGGTTTGAGTGATAAAATCCTTTAAAAAGAATATTGATGACTACCCTAACTCATTTGGAAAATCTGCAGCAAAATTTAAATTCTAATGAATCGATTTCGACTTCTTTATCAAAATTTTCCCGAACTTTTTCGTAGACCTCTGGCTTTTCCCTTAATTCTGTAACACTCGGAACTCGAGAGTTACCCGCTAGGTGTCGTGTCTGCATCACTTCCGTATAATTTCTACTTTGAAATTTCCAAATCCTACATTTTTTACGTTTGACGATGAATACTCGGATTATTGTGGAATGCCTAGGCAATTAAATAGCACGATTAAAGACAAAAAATATCTACCGAAACAAGATATAATAACATATTTTGGTGACATGTAGTAGGTATATGATATTTTAGGCCCGATATCCAAGAGGGATCCAGTGTTAACAAATGGAAGTGACTTACCTTCAGGAACTTTTTAAAATTAGGGGTAGAATCAAGTGCCATGGATCTGTCATGTTGTAAATTTTAAACTTACGGATTGGCAGTAAATACAAAATTTACATGTCATGCTGTATATTTTGTATTAACTGCCACCCGGTAAATTCAAAATTTATAGCATGACATATCCTTTTCATGCTAGCACTTACCCCAACACGAGACCTTATACGGTCTCATCCAAAGAACCGATCTCCACTTTTTACTACTTATCCAAACTGGACATAAAACATTTTCAATGAATTTTTAAATCATTGTGTTGAACCTAACAAATTTTTTCCGACTCGTTGTATGGTCTGAAAAAACAAGGCTGAACTTATCCATTCAGAAACCCACAGATTGGGATTGCTCTTAACCAGTGTGTGTTATGGCCTTGATGCAAGGTCATTTGGTCGAGTCAAGGTCACTGACCGAGAAACTAATTTCTCTACCGTATTTCTACTAGTGAAACATTGCTGGTATCATGCAGAGTGTGACATGGCCTTGACTCAAGTTCAAGGTTACTAAGGAAAAGATGTATTGACTGTATGTATGGACTAAATGAACATGTGTCACTGTGAACTTTTCAAGTCGGTAACACACGGATTGGGTTTTATGACGAGAGTGTGTCATGGCTTGACGCAAGGTCATTTGGAATGTTCAAGGTCACGTACATTCCTTTGCAGTATTTCCTAGCGAAATATTGTAAGTTGCTTCCCCTTCCAAGATTGCTTATATGTACAACTTTAGAATGTGGCATGACATTGACTCAAGGTCACTTCTTCCTTCTGCAGCTCCAACGGAAGACCTATTCGTTGCTTTGCAACGAGCTCGCTCTAGTTTTCCTTACCGATTCTGTGCACGTGATTTTGTAGATATACGTAAGGTATGTCATTTTTGCCGGGAATTCTAGACGTCGGCACTCGCTATGGTCCGAAAAAAGGCATATCGAAAATAGCAATTATCGGAGACGTCGGACTTTATTTTCGTCGATCGACGTCACTTCCGGTCAAACCAGAAGTATTTTTAAGTGGCTTCAATGTCTTAGCAATTGGATGATTAAAGTCCCTGTAGAAGTCTTGCATCATTATAAGTTGTATGCTCTTCAAAACAGTATTCTTTTTACCTACTTATATGCATGTGGATACCTAAAAACTTCAAAGAACTTTAAGAATACTTGATATCACAAAATTTTACTAAACTCAATTATATTAAAATGTATTACTTTTCAGCACATAATTTATACAACTATTCTCAACGATAAATTGAAGACCAGTCCTCTTGACAACGATGACAACTGCTTCTTCACTAAAATTCAAACAAGTTGATATGCATACCTTGCAATTGCAAACTTATTTAGTTTAAAAACATTCTTATTCTACACACAAATACTCCGAGGCTAATATTAAAAAGTGATTGAGTTTTTCAGTGACAATATCTATGTAATTTTTGAAGTTCAGGTTAATTCCCTTGGGTAATAATTGTGCCACGTTATTAGCAGACCTTATTTTGCATATTTTTATGAGTCAGAATTTATTTTTAAAAATTCCAATTAAAAGAGAAGTTGGAAGCCGTAGCCTTCAATGCGACGGCGTTTATTCCTTTTAATTCCTAGGTAAATTAAATAAATTCCATCGAACTCGAGATAAAGGACACCACAGATTCTGACATATCTCTTTACAATAAGACGTTAATGGCAAATTGTTTATTTAAGACTGCAGATTCAGATTTAAAAACGGTAGAAGATCGTTACTCTTTCTTTTTTTAGGGAATTTTTTTTATCTCAAATAACAGAGTCATGCAAGTTGACTACAAAAGTGCAAGGAAATTGATTTTAACTTCAGGCCAGTTGAAAGAACTAATGCATGAAATATATTGATATAACGAACATTATTCAAGCTCAAAAGTCCATTAAACAATACAAAATAGGAGCAGAGCAAACACGGGCCTCCAAAACATCACAGGTGAGATCAGGTGCCATGGAGGAGTGAGCATCCTCTGCCGACCGGTCACACCCGCTGTGTTCTCCATGTTATTATTTGGAAATAACGGAAAAATCCGTCGACAATTCAGTGCGCAAATAATGGCCTAACAATTAGTATGAAAAAACGTCAGTCACCATTTGACTCAATGATAAATTGTATTTGCTGACAAGGGCATTGTATCGATCATAGAACTTACGAAATGATGACTTTAAACGAGTCAGCTGATATTCTTGTATCATCAACTTGTTTGTCAATAATTTACCTCGTTTTAAAACTGTACATACGAAGAGCATGCTCTTGCGTATCGAATCAACTAAGAGATATATACCCCGTATGCAGGTGATGAAGGTATATTGCTGCATAAGTAAGGGAAGTTGACGATTGAAAAGTTAAAATCATCACGTTTATCATAAAGCTTGCTTGTTAGATTACCATTAACGTCTTTTTCAAGTAAAATATCCAAATAAGAAACAGATGTGCCCGACTCTGTGGTATCTTTTGTATCTTTTATCTCAAGCTCACCGGGATATATCATATCGACGTAAGAATGGAAATAACCATTGTTAATTGACAATACGTCGTCGATGTAACTAAATGTCGAGTTGAAGGCCACAACAAGCGTTTTCTTCTTTTCACGTATAAGGTTTTGGACAAACTCTTCTTCATATGAATACAAAAAAGGTCTGCTAATAACGGGGCGCAATTTGCACCCATGGGAATTCCAATAGATTGATGGAAGATCTCCAAAAACGACATAGATATTATCAATCAGAAACTCAAGCATCTTTTTAATGTCAACTTCAGAGTACTTGTGTGTACAATCAGAATGTTTTTTAACAAAATAATTTTGCAAATGACCAATGACAAGGTAAGTAAAAATTTACGATTTCCATTTTTTTTTTTTTTTTTTTTTTTTTTTTTTTTTTTTTTTGAAAAAGCAGCTTTCAATGATATCAAAAAGCCTGAACTTTAATTTATCGTGGGGAATGATTGTGTATAAAGTTGAAAAGTCGTAAGTTTTTTAGCTGTTGATTTTGGTAAAATCTTGTGATTTCAATGAAAGGCAGGACTCCAGTTGGCGACTAATTTAGTCGCTATGGCGCCTAAAAATTATGATTGCCGCTTTTTTTTTTCTATGAGTCGCCAAATTGTTGACCCTTTTACATTGATTTGGTAATCATCAAATTACTGAGCTATAAACATTTTCAATTTTGTTTTATTAAGAGCAGAAAAGAAGTTAAGTTTAAAAACGGACTTGTCTATATATATTGACTAATATCAGTTTTTGAATTAATGCTTAAGGAAAATTTACCTGGCGACTAAATGTTTGCATTGGCGACAATTTTTATTTTTTTCTTCTTTTTTGATAAGGAGCCAGTTGGCATCTAAATTTGAGAGGTCACATACAGGCCTGAAAGGTGATATAAGGAGTGCTAGTGGTAGATTTCAGGAATCCTTAATGAAAGTCCACAAGATTTCTTTTCAGAGATAAAGATAAATAGAAAATGATTTTCATGCAGTATGTCTTGAAAGAAGTAATCATTTTGAATAGGAAATTGAAATATAATCTGTGGGTCTTTTAAGCATTCAAAAATAAATAAATACGCTATTTATTATGTTGATGTTTTCAAACAATATTCAAATTGTGATATTTGGAAACAAAATCCTGTTGACTTTCACCTTAAGAATTATTTCAGGCAGCTCATGTGACATAACTTTTGGATAAAGACTTAATTCAATTCTACCTTCATTTATGATGCTTCACGCAGTTGATTTGTGAGCAATTTTCCACTGAAAGTCCAAAACAATTAAATTCATATCAAGTATGCAGAGAGGTTTTCAAGTAATTTGCTCTGTAATTTGTCATATTTGCAGTGCATGCACTGGAGGAGGTATAAAAACAAGCGATGTATGTAAATATGTATTTTTCTCTACAGACCTAGAGCTTTTTCGGGGAGAAGAAATATGATAATTTTCAAATCATTTTTGATTTTGATGCATCTTTTTGCTATTTTGGTAAGTATTAACATTATTTCATCTATCCGTTCAATTTTTGCTTAGTTGAAGTATATGACAAAGGAACCTTTATATAAAAACATTATTTCATTAAGGATTAATATTATAATCTTTAAAAAAAAATGTTAACTGATGTTGTTCTTTAAAGGCAGCTTCCAATGGAATCAGATCAATGCCAGAATCGGAGAACATTAATGCCAAAACAAGGTCTCTCTCTCTCTCTCTCTCTCTCTCTCTCTCATTTTTAAAATGAATTAAAGGCATCCAAGAGAAGCTCATATAGAAACTATAAAAGATGGATTTCGATATAACGAATTTTCGATTTTTTATAATGAAATTATGTAATAAATATTAAAATTCGTTTAACTTAATTTTTATAACAGATTTCTGAATTTGTTTTAACGAATTTAATCCTTTAAAACAAATATTTTGAATTAATTTTAAGTGATTCTAAATCTTATTTCATCAAATTAAATTTCAACGAACGAATTTCATAATTCATTATTTTCCAAATTGTTCAATTAGATCTTAGCGATTTATAAATTTCGTTTTATAAATTTTGCCACATCTTTTTTTTTTTTTTTTTTTTTTTTTTTTTTTTTTTTTTGATGTATTTTACTGACTATTGACCATAAGGGCCAACTAACAATTAAATTTTCTGACAAACGAGATGACTGACTTTAGCTTTTCCATCGTCAACTCTCCTTATTCATGTAGTAAAATTCTGCTGTCACCTGAATATTAGGTTTAATTTCCTAACTTATTCGATACTCAAGCTCACCCTCTGAGTACGATCAATTCTTAAATCGAGACAGGCTACTGACAGATATGTTAATATTAGAGGGATTTCAACAACCTCGTTCAAAGTCAGCTTTTCGTAACAACTATTATCGTTTAAATGATCTTTTTTAGAAAATATAACCTATCATTGGGTCGTATTTTTGCTGAAGTTTTTCATACCATTTGTTAAGCCTTTGTTTCTATACTAAATTTGGCAGCAGAATATTCCGTCAAAACGAAATATGACGTAATAAAATTATCAATACTTATGGCTCACGGCAAGTGTGACCCGTCAACAGTGGTTGCATTCTCCTCCTAGGCACGTGATCCTACCTATAGAATTTCAGGGGTTCCTGTTTTTTGCCCTGCTCACAGAATTGTATTATTTGTGGATTTGTTTGAGACCGATCACGATTCGTTATATTCTCCTTTTTCATTTAATATATTTTTTTTTCCAAGATGTGATAACAAACATAATATATTTCATTAAACGAATTGTGGACTTTGACTTAAATTTAATTGCATATATTGCATTTCAAATTCGTAATAACAAGTATTATCTGTTGAAACGACTTCTACAAATCTTTTATTTATAACAAATTAAATTCGATAAAAGAACTAAAAAAAAACTGGTATTAAATTCAATTTTTCATATTCAACAATTTGTAATATCGAATTCAGAAATACTTTTGATAGGTTCTAAATGGGCTTCTGAACAACGCCTCCCGTCTGACATTTTTCTCTATTTTAGACGGTGCTTAAGCAAAGCGACAGACAATAACCTCAGTCGACAGGTACACTGTACATACATAATCTCTCTCTCTCTTTCTCTCTCTCCGCCGACTCCTCACTGTTGAATTTTCTATGAAGGTAGACTCAAGCGAATCCAAAGGATCTGAAGAATCTGATGAAAACAACTTAAATTCTGACCAAATATTGAGCGTCAAAAAAACTGAAGAAAGAAACGACGTTGTTGACAAGGACTTTACAACAATGCCCGAAGTAGTAGATTCGACAACGATGATTGATGATACAGATGTAAAGCCAACGCCCGAGAAAGCAGAACTGACAGATTCACCTGATGAAACGTGCTGGAATTTTGGAAAAGAACGGTGCAATGAAATTCCACAAAAGGTATATACTTTCGTTCTCTTATAAAAACGAATTTCAATGTGTTTATCCAAAGCAAATATAACAGTTTTGAAAAGTGAATCTAAGTACATGTCATAAGGGTTTTTTTAAAACTATTTATTGTTAATTAATCGTTTGAGCTGCATTACATTTTTTTTCAGTGGAGAATCTATTGCCAAAGTGATTCCTATTGCCAGGGTAAGCTGTTTTTTCTTTCTATGATAATATTTGAGACAAAACAGTGGTTGGTATCAAAACAAACATCAGTATAGAAAAAAAAGTTATCATAACGTTTTGTAGGTACAATGTAATTCAGTCTTAAGCCCTAACAAATATATTTTGTTTAAAGAAGAAGCATTAAAGATTTTGCCAAATGAATTCAAAGTACATGCATAAATTTCTTTTCTAAAATACTTAAATAGGTATATTTTATTTCATCAAATTTGTGAACGCAATTTGCTGTTGATGCTTACTGCTTTTATATCTAATAGAATACCTTTCTCTTTAAGAATGTACTAAAATAAAATGTCACAGTTTTTTTTTCTTTTTTTCTTTTTCTTTTTTTTTTTTTTTTTTTTTTTTTTCTAAAAACAAATATTTTTATAGTTTGAATATAATTTATAACAAAAAATACCATGGTAGTAAATAAAATCAAAACTATAATTTACTGGAATTTGAAAGCTTTTGCAAGTAAATGAAGGCTTTACATTATTAATCACAATATTTTTATCTTTTTTTTTTTGAATTATTTTCTGCGATTCGTACATGCCAATGAAATTGAAACAAAATATTACATGAAAATTCACATTTATTTCACAAACGTACATCATTGGTAGGAAAATTAACAAATATTAGGGCTGTACCTTTCAAAAATATTATATTGTAAATCAAAGTATTAAAGTATTTACTATAGTTATGTAAAATAAAAAAAAAATAGTTAACTACATGTAAGTGAAGTTTTGTTAGTGATGTTTACTCAATGACAGTTTTTTTCTTTTTTTTTTTAAATATTTCAATTTAATGAAGAATAAATTTAGACTTGTTTATATGAGTACATGTTTTTTCTTGTCTGTAGGCGGTGAATTAAATAAGGAAGGGAAATGCTGCACTGACGCATGTGAAAATGATCCGAGGTTTTTACCAGAAAACCAAAAATTTTGTCGTTGGCCAGTTGATACTTATAATCTCGTGGATTCTTTTAAACCAGTAAGCGCGCGGCAGAAGAAATGAAACTCTATTTGAGATTGGAAGCATTTGAGCAAATAAATAATTCCACAGCCTATGAACTTGAACATAATCTACTGAAGTTACAATACAATATTTGTATATAAAACAAGAAGCCCATGGGCTATATCGCTCACCTGAGTCACCACATAAGGTATGACTTTAGGTAAATATAAATTGATTATTTTGTGTGTATACAGACCTCCATCTTATGTTGAGTAATCTTTTATGAAATCTATGTTGAGTCATATTTTTATGAAAAAATATGGTTATTGGAGATTTTGACTTGATCAATATAGAGAAATCTAAGTGCATAACAGAAATATGTGACATATTTGATCTCTGTAACATTATTAACGTAGGTCGCAGGGTTTAGTGACCTTTTAAAATTGCTCGAAAACATATTATGAAAATTTGTATTTGAATCTCCTACTTTTGTTTAACATTCTCTGAAAATTTTATAAAATTCGCCAGCATCGTTTTTGCGTTATTAAATCTCAAACATGTCATCGTTGTCATAACATTTCGTCTCAAAAAATCTCAGTAATTTTTAAATGGTGCAGACGAAATTGTTTCCCTTTTGTTCATTTCATACAGAGATACAGAAAAAAATTAACATGTCTTCGAGTTAGTTTTCTCATAATTTAAATGTGAATAATTGATTTTACATTGTAGCAAAATGTAACATTTTTTAAGAATGACGCTATAAACTATCGCGACGTCACGCTTTACGTCGTGAATACGGTCCGGTATAAAGTACAGAAAAAACAAAATATATACATGTTATATAAAAAAAAGAAGAAAGAAATTTATGCCTATATATATTTAATGTAAAATTTATATTTTAAATAAGCACGGATATATCTGTTAGGTAACTGTATCTTGTCTGAAACATCTTTACGGGTCTCAGTTGTTTATAAGCTGTAACTAAGAGAGAGAGAGAGAGAAGGCTTGGGTGGGGCTTGCAGGTGCTGTACTCCTAGTGTAATTAAGAGACTCTTACAAGAATGGGGGAAGGAAGATTAATTAGAAAAAAAACAACAGTTTTTTACACACCGGGAGCTAGTTCTTATGTGGCAGGATTTTTTTTGTATTTAATATGGATGGATTATATTTTTATTCTTTAATATAGCTATACAAAACCCTTCTTTGTAAATGGGATTTTCACGTAAAACTTGTACGAGTACACACGCCGCATACGACTGCTCCTTTAATATGATGTCGCTATCGTATCACCACGTTGTCAGCGTTTTTTTTTTTTTTTTTTTTTTTTTTTTTCCGAATTAATCGCATTCTGTTGGTAACTAAAAAATAGATACCAAGAACTACTCGTGTTTTGTCTGAAAAGATCACAAATTTTCACCTAACGTTGTACATTTTTTGAACATCCGATTTTTCATTCTCGACACCGTTCGATATTGCCAAAGTATTTGCAAAACATGGTGCTACATGTATGATATTCTAAAGAATTAAGCATTTGGTGAGCGTTTTTTTAAAGATATTAAAATACACAGGAACATAGGATGCAATTTTTAGTTGGGGGTGGGGGACAACCCAACGGATACAGACAAGCTCAGGCCTGTAGCAACGGTTTCAATTTATTTGTCGGGGGGGGGGGGGGTAACTTAAAAACAAACAAACAAATAAACAAGCCTAATTAGCTGTCCAAATCCTGGATGTGTCAGTGCTTGACCTTATAATTACATGAACAAAAAGTGGGGACCCTGCCCCCCCCCCTCCCCCCGTTTTACCGGCCTGAATCAAACATTCTTGGGGTGCACAACCGCAAATTAGTTCTGTTTTCTAATTTATATTGTTTTCATGTACTGTTAAAATTATTGAGGGGGACAACAACTGTAAATTAGATTTTCTAAAGTAATTTATATACATTGGAAAAATTATGGGGACACGCCCATCCTCCGATTCCTACCGAACTAATATCCCTTTTTTCTCTAGCACGAACTCCTCATAAGTCGGTCAGCGATCTTTTTTTAATCAGGTGAAATAACACACAAGTATCTATGATAATAGATATATATCTAAATCTAGTTGAACATCACTGCCTCAGTTTTTCAATTGTGATATAGATATACATGTATTTATTAAAAAGTTACCACTTGTTCAGTTGTTACATATCATTTCGTGATACTGTTGTGATCTCAATGTGAAGATATATAAACGCTTTCTTTCGATTTTCCAACATTTAAAAAAAGATTTCTATTTGTGATAACTTTAGTTTGTTGTATTGAAGAGTTTTAAAAAACAATGATCGCAGATTTCTTACTCGTTGTGACGTCATAATCAAATGTGCACAAGAAAGTTGCCCATATCATATAAACTGCGTACCCAGTTTTAACGACGTCAGCAAAACCGCGATCTACGTTAAATCACCCACATGTTTCAAAAAGGGTTGTGAACCATCACTGGTTGATGTCATATTAACGTCTGATAAAACAGTTTGTAAAGACTCCATAAAGAACTATATATGGTTTGGGCCATTTTAAGCCCCCATTCAGAAAATGTTTATATTTACTATGGGCAGTGATAAGGCACGTGTGTTGCTTAAAATATATATTTTAATTTGTTCAGGCATTTCGTTGCCATGGAAACCGTTGTCAAATAACACATACCTTTAGACCTAAAAATCTGGCATCTATTGTCATTTAACCAGTCTTTAATTTTGATACCAACTATAATGTCTTCAGTAAACGTCTTTATTTATACTTTGGGATATGTCAAAATGACTGTTTTACGAGGAAAATATATTTTAAATTAGTCAGGCATTCCGTTGCCATGGAAACCATCTTCAAAAACGTATTTTTTTCATACCTGAAAATCTGACTTTTATGGAAATTTGACAAATCTTTAATTTTGGTAACATCTATAATATTTTCAGTAAATGTCTATATTAATACTTCGAGATATGATAAGGTGACTGTTTTACTAAGACAAAATGTTTTAAATTGATAAGCCATTCCGTTGCCATGGACATTATCTTTAGAAAAACGTATACCTGAAAATGTAGCTTCTATTGTCATTTAACAAATCTTTCATTGTGGTAGCATCTATGGTTTCTTCAGTAAATGTCTATATTATTTATTCTGTGGGATATGTTAACGTGAATGTATTGCTAAGGAAATATATATTCAATTGATCAGACATTCCGTTGCCATGGAAACCATCCTTTTAACAAAACCGTATACCTTCAGACCTGAAAATCTAGATTCTGTTGTTATTTAACCAGACTTTTATTTTCACAAAAAACAATCGTTAATTTTAACACAGTCTTTATTCCCTTCGTTCCGATTTCTTTTTGTTAAACTATACATTTTATAGTAAAATGAAAAATATATATTTTAGCGAAAAATATTTTTTGAAGGGGATGGAGATGGGTCATTACAAGGATTCAACTTGTCCGTATGACTATTAGTCTGTCCATCAATGCAGTCGTTTCCGATTGTTTGCAGATACTATTTGTTTAATGGGCAATTCTATTTAACACTTGAATTATTTCGGTACACATGGGTACTAATTTTTATAAAACTATGCTAATTGTTAAATCATAGCATGTCATTAGAAACATAAATCAAATAAAATTTGGTTGCCATGCGTCTTGGTCGCCATGGTAACAGATTGAACATTCAGAAATTGAGATCAGGTTCTTTGAATCTTAATAAAAAGCATTGACAAAGTCTTATGAAATTGAATTGACCACTTATAAAAAAAATATTATACTTAGTTGCCACTGAATGATATAAGGAAATTGTATTTATAAAACTCTAATAAGATGTTTGCCATAGCTACATTTTGAATACATTTTATATGCTGAAAAATACTCAATATTTACTCATTATAGAAGTTATATGACCAAAATTTATCGCCAGCAATAGAGAAACAATAAAAAATAGTTGATCTTATGAAAAAAAATTGCAAGATCATTCTAAAATTAAATATTTTGGTTTCATGATAACACAGCATAGCTACACACAATTTGTGTCATAATTTGATTAATCATGTCATTTTGAATGTGTGTAGATTAAGTGTGCATGTCAACACTCGAGGAAAAACATATGAAAAATATCTTTAGGCCTTTTAAGTTTTAACAGCATACAAAAGGAAAGTTATTCCTACATTATAATTACCATGGAGACAAAATAGCAATAGTTAAAGTGGTACTTTATGAATTCAGTTATTTCCTTATAAAAAATATATATATAATTTTTTTGCAAACAGTAAGAAATATAGTATCTTAATCATCATCAATTGTATATATCTGATCTTGGATTTTCTGCATCATACCCAAGTAACTTCATAAATCAATTAAGTCACATTGTCATAGTAACCATTTCACATGATGTTTTTTTTTCCTATAAGAGTTTATGATGATATGGTATCAAACACTTTAATATATCGTAGAAAGATCAAACAATACTAGATCCGACTTTAGAGAAAGGCGTTAAAGAGCTTTATGTGGCTGAAAGTTTGATTTTATTCATATTTTGAATGCTTAATATTCATTGTCAATATGGAAATAAAACAAAACAAATTATACTTCTCTATAAATCAAAAGAATATTAATTTATCAAACATTCTTGAACAGGTATCGTTGCAAATTCAGCATTTTTTTTTATCAATTTCATGTACAAATCATCGTCAGATATCTCACATTTACACCTCATGTATGGTCTGCATTTTCATCCATAGGCAGAAGTTTAAATGATGATAAGGTTTTTTGTCATTATATTTTTAAAGAACAAATATCTTTCATGGGTTATATATGTGGAAACATAAATGCTGGAAATCTGCCAAAAGTTCCGTCGACGGTATTGCCATTATCATCATCTTTATTCGTGTAATAAAGCATTATTAGATAGAATTTAAAAATGTAGAATGCAAACGTCTCCGATGTTATTCCTCCATGTATTCCAGGTCAGAGTCCAGAATCCTGAAAGTGTCTCTCTGGGGATAGTCACATTTTTGGTAGGAAAAGGTTGATAGCGTTCATACCTTAAATGCCAAATTACACTTGCTATATGCGAACAACAACCGACGACTCTGGCACCAACCTTG